ATAAATAAACAAATGTGCTTAGGTTTGAGCTGATAAATAGCACTATTAATAGCAGCTACCATCATTCCTGATACTGGCAGTCAGTAAGTTTTCATTTGTGGTATTTGGAGGGCACAGTTGATCTGCTGTCCCTGAACACTAGGGTTATATTCTCCATTCAAAGCTACATAGTGACCAATAAAGAATAACATGCTTTTCTATCCTGTCTGAATTCTCTGAATTCTGGTTAAATATGACTTGAAGCTTCACAAACTATTAAACATCTCCTTGATATGTTGGCAGGCCAACATAATAAAAACAACCAAAAAAAATTCAAAGAACTTCCAGTCAGAGGCATGGGCTCTCAGCCATCTCTTGTTTGCTGCTCCCTTGAAACATGTACCGGAGATTATCCTTATTAGGTCATCTTATGGGTATTCCCAGATCTTTTGAGTATGGTTTTCTTCCTTTTTAATTAGTAGGTCATTATGTGACAACTTCTGTCTGCTCCTCTAAGTGGCTGGCTAAGGCAGATTTCATAGTGCTTCCAGATACCTGAAAATAATTAGCCATTTGTGAGTTGGGAGGTGGCTTCAGATTTTAGAATGAAGCCTTGTTCTTTGTAATGCACTGGGGAATGCTGCTGATTAAAAATAAGGATGTTATTCCATCATTTTGTCTTTGCAAACAAGATGAGTGTGATAAGTTTCTGTCTAGCTCTATCCAGGCAGTTCCTTCTTGCTCTCACACCAGTGTTAATTCCATTAGCTGTGATGAAGCTAGTTGGAATTTTGGTGTCAACTGGATCACTGTATTAAAAAGTTCTACATAAAAATGTCACTTCTGATGCTTTAGTGCTACAGTGTACAGAGAGTTGCACAGAAAATTTTACAATACGAGTGACGGGGGCACAAGTGGCAGGGGAGGAACGAGGAATTAGGTTTGCAGCAGTGGGAATTTCTTATGCTAGCTCTGGCACAAAGGGGAGACATGGTAGCTAAACATGGTACCACAGCTAAACTCACTCACACCCAGCTGCTTGTAATTGAATCTGCCATCCCTTGACTGTTTAGCTCTGCAAGACAGTTTAGCAATGAGCAGATCTCTCAGCAGCCGTTCTGGAGCTCCTTTTCTCCAGAGACAGGTTCAAACCAGTAACAAACCTGTTTACCAGGGCATTAATGTCTTTATATAATCTTCCAACAGGTACTTCCTTTCTGAGTTCTGTTATATACAACTGTAACAGATAGGCTTTTCTTTTTTTTTTTTTTTACTTTCAGATATTTTAATTAAGGTATCTGCAAATTTTGTTCAGGCATAGCACTTACTATCTGTTTCAGAGATGAGAGCTGGTGCTACCACTGAGATAAGGATCTCATTGTGTCAAACACTGGCAAAAATTGTAGGTTTACGTTCTCTCATTATAGATCCAAGGAGACAGCATCTCTCCAATTCATGTTCAGTCAATTACTCTTTGGCAGGATTTTTTGCAAGTTATCAGGGTGAGAAGCATAGCAATTTAGACATATCACATTAATCAGATAGAAAAAGGTTAGAAGTTGTAGGGATTTGGATGTTTGTCAGGTTTGAGAAGTATATTCTTGCAAACAACTAGGACTAATATTTTTCTGTTCTTGATATGTACCAAAATCCTCAATTTGTGTTTTTGTTTTTAATAAGGGTTTCATGGCTTTGCATGCAAACTATATTAAGCTCAATAACATTTCTATTTCTGTAGTATCTCCGTCTGAAGTACTAGTTTTCCCAGAGCTCACTCACAGAGGTCTGTGCTTTATTCTCAAAAACTAGAAGACACGTAGTAGATTCAATCCTGGCCATTTTTCATGTGAAGCCTTATTCAAATGGTAATTGTGAAGGGCTTTGTGGACTTTGTTCTCAACTCAAAGAAAAAGCTTCTGCTGTGGGCAGCTAGGGTAGGAAAGAATTTTGCTGAAAGACTTGTAGAAAACTAATTTGGAAGTTACCACAGCCACTCGAAAGTTAAAAGTATACCTACAGATCAACTCTGAAACCAATCACATGATCAAATAACATTAGAAATTAATACTGTGAATGAAATATATTACAGTAAAGATCAGGCTTGTATTCCTTTTTTTGTCCTCACAAGACACACGATAAAGGAATTCATGATAGTGTACCTGTATGCAAAGTATGCATGGTTGGTTTGCAATTATTGATATGTATATATGCTACTTAGCAGCTGGTGTGTAATTTAAGGGTAAGTCTTGGCTTTTCAGAATCAGCCTCCCACACTGGACTATTGAGTGCACATTCACCAAGTTAGGTCATGCAGGACTTTAATTTTGAACTCGTACTGTGCATAAAGGTACGAGTAAAGGTACAGTTCAGGTAAAGACTTCAGGTACTACCAATGTTGCAACTGTTCTAATATTGCATTTTTGATACATTTAACTGTATGTACATAATTTGAACTATTGGTGGCTCCAGCTAAAACTGCATGCTAATTTTGGAGACATTCTAAACCCAGAGGCTGGGACATAAATCAGGGCCCTCGTTACAAAACACATTGCAGTGGGATGTAATGACTTGCCTACAGTCACATTCAGCAGCAAAGCCAAAATCTTGGTTTCTGTTTTCCAGCCCCATATCCACAGTGCCATAGACATCTCACCTTTCAAAAGTTATTTTACTTATAGAAAGCATGCTCATAAAATAATTTAGTTTATAATTGTGTTACTGTTCTGGTTTTTTATTTTCTAACTAGCTGACAGTCCTTGTCTTGCACTCACTTCTTTTAGGGTCATCTCTTCACACCCACCCTGAAACTGCAGTCAACTCCCACACACAAATCTATTTAGAGTTGCAGGGCTCTGCTTAGAGGCAAAGTCAATTTGTGAAAAATTCTTTGTGGCAAGAGGAATTCGTAACACAGCAGTATATCCATAAGGATCTGTATTATGATTTATATGTTAGAACTGTGAAGAATATACAGCAATTTTCATCACTTTAGATAGAGTCTGGGAAATCCCTTGTGCATAACAATACCAGTGCAGTAACTAAGACACAAGAGAAGAAAACAGTAGAAATTAACCAGTTAATCCTGTGCTACTTATTTGTCAAATATGGTTTACTGCTAAGTACTCACAGCACTTATAATAACAATGTGTAAGTATCCTGTACAGTGCTTCATCTGTGAAAGAGTAGTAGCTAACAATGGCCAAGATAATCTAGAGGTGTCATTTAAACATTAAATGATATTAAATAGCTAAAGAAATATTAAGTGAATTGGTAAAGATGTGGCCTGTGTGAGGGGAGAAAGGTGAGGATATTCCCTCTGTATTGAGTTTTGCCCCATCTAGAAACAAGACTGGAAGTCATGTTTATAGTGTGTTTTGCAAAAGAGATTACACCTGATATTTTGGCTACACACGTAACTTGTGCATGTTTTGCTATGGCTTCTTTCCATCTTTAGTTACAGGTGTGTAGGATCCTGAGTTGACACTATAAAGGGACCTTGTCAACATGGGCTTTGACAGAAACTGCAATATTTCAGCCTTAATTAAAATTAAAATTAAACCACAATATTTTAGCCTTATTCAGCTCCTGAAAGTTGCTTTGTAGACAAATGATCGGAAAGAAGATATTTGGTTTCAGTGCTATTTCAGGAGTGATGCAAATTAACTATGTTCCTGTGTGTTACAAGGCTTCTGAGTTCAGGAATCACTAACCAGCCTACAGTTGAAATTATTTTCTTCAAACCCTTCTCAGTTTGTCAAAAAAATCCTAGTTTTTCTAGTGTGTCTCTTTTTCTTCTTTTTTTTTTTCTGAATAAATTTTTAATAGCAGCTGTAAGTCTTGCCTCTCCTGTGTATTTTGGGGCATAGATAACTAGATAAAACTAAAGCCCAGCAGAAAGCAATTTAAGAAACCTTATATTTAGCCTTAGTGAATAGTATTCCTCAGGAAACCACAAACCAGGCATAGTCCATCGAAGAAAAGCTTCCAACAAAGCTAGGCTGAATAGTGAAATAATCTTTGAACTAGCACCTCTGAAGATACGCAGAGCAACTTTATAAGCATCAATCTACTGAGCCTTGTCCATGGGGTAATTCTGAGCCTGAGCTAACAACACTGCAGATTATTTATTTTTCATATATAAGAACAAATGCATTTCTTTTAAATTTCACAGAAGTAAAACTTCCCTGTGAAGGAAGTCACAGCATATAGTGTGACAATTATATATTTTAAAGCATATATTTATAGAGATGCCTTTATATACCCATCCTTCCTATACACATTCAGACTCGTACATCTTTTTTCTATGTTTGCATTTGTGCACGTATATCATAGACATAGATAAAAATTAAAACATGTATATTTGAAGGGGGAAAAAGGATTTATGGCAGCTGGCCAGATTTAATTTGTCTGCTTGTATTTAGCACTTAAGGGCTTATATACTCAGTTTGCTCAAAAGAGTGAAGAAGTACTCCTTGCTTATGCCTCAAATCAGAAATGCATGAAGTGCAGCTGCAGAGATAATACATTCTCCCCAAAGGCTTTGGCTGAGCAAATTAGGTGTCAATGGGGTGCCTTCGCAGGCAGTACTCTCTCTAATTAGTCTCTTGAGCCTAGTTGGTGGCAGGTATAAGATGATCTAATCAATTGGTCTGTGTCTGATGGTACGTGTAAAAATCCTAGCAGGCAGAGCTGTCTCCCACAGGTCACTCACCTGCACAGCAGGAACGCTCATTTTCATTTTTCATCTCTTCCATCACATGATGCTGACAGTTGGTTTTAAGGAAATTGAATCCAAAAAATATCTAGTTCATAGGGCATGTAGGTCAAAATAAAGTTGCATTATGGGTATTGGTGATCCAATTAATTAATATTTATAGCAACAAGTTGCACATAGATCTTAACCGAGTGCATATAGTATTGCTAATGTTTGGTTGGGTTTTTAAAATGATTTCTCTAACAAAAGTAGGAATAAAAGGTTTGGGGTAAATCACCTCTTAATACTCTACTTTTTTTTTTTTCAGAAAGGATGAATAGTATCTATGGTGTCTGCATGTGTGGTGGAGGGAGAAGCAGAAAGAGTATTATTGTTGATGATCTTAAATAGCTCCATGTTTTAGCTCATAAAGAATACAGTATCTCCAGTTGTCAGCTCACATTTTTATTTTAAAACTGGAATACTCTTACAATACTGCTGCATCAGCTGCCACATAAATAGACCTGCACTCTTGAGTGTGCTTTGCATGCTAAAGACTCTGCTGGAGCACAGCTCCACCCGATGTGATAATTTATACAGAAATTAAAAGTATGTAGACAAGGATGCTGATACTGCCAAAAGGAACATGTATTGAACTGGTATTTTTACAGGACAGGACGTTCTTTCACTAATTAAAATAAATAAAAATATTTGGGATTTAATAATCTTCCTCTGCCTCATGTCTTGAGAGTATGATTAATGTTTAAATTATAGGCTTTGGTAGAGAACCACTGTTACATCAACAGCTACTTCATTCTGAAGTTGGCTTCTGCTGTTTTTAAGGTGGATTAACATTCTATCACGTTAGGGGTCTGGACAAATAGAATGTATGCAGCAGAAGTTTCCTCTAGGTAACAAAGATAGAAATTAGTCACTTCATGTAGATCACTTAATATTTCAAGTACACCATTAACTTACTTGTAGAAAGCTATAAGGTTTAGTAGAGATGTCATGAAAACCAGAAGTACCAGGATCTATAGTGAAAAAAGTTCATTTTTAAAGCAGTCTTGAATGTTTCGGGGTTTGTTGTTGCTTGTTTGTTTGGGGTTTGTTGTTTTGGTTTGATTTTTAAGAAGATATGAAAGAACTCTATTTGCTCATGGGAAATCACAAGTGTAAATAAATGTTCCATGTAACAATTTACAATTTTATAAGCAAAGCTGTGACCAGAGGCCATAAACATAGTTTGCCAAGTCACCAGGCAAAACTTTGATTTGTATGATGAGGGAAATGTATAAATTCTAAGCAAGAATATTTCTAAAATATAACTTTAAAAATGCAAACACGGAATACAAAGCCATCTGGGAACTGAATGGCAACACTGTGTAGAGGGCCCTGCCGTGGGTCTTTGTTGTGTGAACAACTGATGTTTCATTTCAAGAGCCACTCTGAAGAAACAATGTTTTTTTAATAAAAGGATTGGTTCACAGCAGTCTAAAATTTTCTGTGTTTTTTATTGTAGATTTTCTGCTGTGGATAAAGAGATGCTCCCCTCTTTCTCCAGTTTAGGAGAGTTGTCTGTTTGATGTCTCATTTTAAACAAAATTAAATGTGAAGAGTAAGTGCACAGTGATTACAGCACTCCTCTGACAAGTGGCAAATCTGTGTTCAGCACATGAGAAAGTTGGCAGTCCATGACAGCTCTCTGAGGCAGGGGAAGGGACTTCACCCGTTGACTCCACTTTTGAATTGACAATACACATTCCGAGAATTACGGATTCAGATGCAAACATTATCTATACCTAACCACCACACTTTTTGTGTCATGTGAGGATTTCATACTCAGGAGAAACACCTCGGCAGGCAGAGCTGGGGGTTCAGCCTCAGAACACCCTGCTCATTCTGGCACTGGTGGGAGCAGTGGGTCTGTCATGCAGGCTGGCTTCCCAAAGCAGGCATGTTGCACATTTCAACACTGCAGACAGACTGAGACTATCATACTGTTCCCTGCTTCCAGCTGTACTGTGTCTTCTAGCTTTCCCCAGCCAGAACCATTAGTGAAATGTGGCATCAAATAATGTTCTTTTCCAGTGATCTAATCTAAATCTGGAGCCTGTGCAGAAGGTGGAGGGAGGTGTTGCCCACCATACACAGTTGCTAAGCTCCACAAGAAACCAGTTACAGCCCTGGCATGGCAGGATCCAGCAAAGCTGGAGCTGGTGGAGTTGTGATCTTAAAACTGTGATCTGCTTTATACTGAGCCAGGGCAGGAAACCTGTAACTCCTGCTACCCTTTCTTAGTAGAATACTGCAGTGTTCTGCCTGCAGTGTGCATTGGTGCTGGCAGTAGTCCAGTGTGCAAAGATTTTTTTTTTTTCCACATGTGTTATATGGTAGCAGCTCTCAGTTTATTAATTTCTAAAGAATCACCTAATATTCTAGGGCTTGATTCTGGAAGTGCTAAGCTTCTAATGAAGGTATTGCCCATTCCACAAGCTCAGGCCCTGCCCTGGAGAATGTCATCAGCTTTGCCTACAAAGCCAAACCTGAAACCAGACAATGTAGTGGTTTTAGAGGGAAATTGTAGCATTATCCTAGAAGAAGTGTGATACTTACCTCATTTAGATACTGTCCCGAGGCTCAGTGCTAGAAAGGAAAAGTTCTCTGTAATTAAATTGTAGTTATTCTCAAATGAGCAATGACCCTCTGAGCAATTTGATAACTACTGGAAAAACATGCATCCAGAGACTTTGCTATCCTTATAATTTTATTACCTGTCTCAGATGTCCCTGCTGCTTATGTCAGCCTCTGGAACTCCAGTAATTTGAGCTTAGCCTGAAATCAGACCAGCTATTCTGGATCTGGGCAGATGTAGATTCCAAATTGCAAGCCTGTTTTCCACAACTGGAGTGTAGGTGGCAGTGGGGGCAAACGCAACCTCAGAATTGGAAGGAGTTTTGGGAGTTTAGTTGCTTTTTCCAAGAAGGAGCTGCCAAAAGAACACCGCTGAAAAGTGCTCATGAATGAAGGGAAATCTGGAATTTGGGGAATATTAGCACTGGTGTTTCATCACTGAGCAATTGTGAATCTCTGCATGTTCCAAACATTGCTTTTGTTTTTAAGCTTTTGAAGGTAAACTAAATGAATCAGCTCAAATGTATTTATTGAAACAAGATTTATCGGCATCTCAGCCAAGCTTCTAGACATTGGGGAAAGTGGGACTTTCATGTGGAATAGACACATCTAGGAAACAGCCCAAGAAGGACACTAGAGGTGGTAGACCAAGCTCCAAGAGGGCCCAAGATGCTTAAGAACAGGATTTCATTAATCCAGTTCAGGTATTCTGGTGCTTAAAGAATAGAAGAAGAGCTCTCAAGCATCATGACAGGAACCCTGGAAATTACAGAAGTTAAGATATTGCATAGACATTGGGGTGTTTTTTTGAAAGCCACAGTTAAAGTGCTGTGCTTGAAACTGCAGTTCAAAACTGATGTCTTGTTTTTCTCCTGCTTTTGAGGACTAGACTAGATTCACTGGCACCTGCATCCAGTTTGATTTAAATAGTTTTAGGACATGCTAATACAAACCAGTTCCATGCTCAATGAATATTTCAGCATTCTTTTTTTTTAAGGGATGAAATTCCTTCACATCTGTCTTCCTGCAACAGCATTTTAAAAATATATCAGGTCTGTAGTTCTAGTCTTGGAGAACTTAATAAATATATTTTCAGAATTTCTCAGAAAGTCTCTCTTTATTACTTGACATAGAATTCTACTTGAAAATTTATTAAGAGTTAAGTATGTTAATTATAAAATCCTTTCAGTGGCTTCAGTTCATCCAGTTCATCTAGCCTTCATTCAGGCTTCACGTGGCTCTTGCAGTTTCTGGATACTTTGTTTTCCTGTCCCACATTCTCAGCCTGCCTTCTGTTTTGTGAAAACCTCAAAAACATCAGGATACCTTTGTGCAAGTTCAGCCATTGCTTTTGAGCTTCTTTATCAGTAGAGTGAAATACAATATAAGTGAAGCTGTTGATAGTGTTTATTTTTGTATTTGAAAGGAGAGTTTGCAATTATCTGCCTGGTAATAAAAATACACTGAAATAAAGGTAAATGCATTTAGACACAGCACACCAAGAAGCTCCACAACCTGGTTATATTTGCAGAAATGTTTCTGATTTGTCTTGGGGTGCCCCAAACAACTCTCCAGAAGGAAAACTGAGGAGACCTTTTAAAAAACTAGCTACAAACATTGTTATGGAGGAGATCGTAGGAAGAAAGGGGGTAAAAAAAGAAAGGGGCAAAAAAAGCTTGTAAACTCCTGAAGCTCTGCCAGCATTTTTAGCAATCTTCCTTTGCATTCAGGGGGTGTGACCACCTTTAGAAGAGATGACTGGTTATGGCTGTCTATAATTGCTATGGAGAACGTCAGTGCTAATGGTACATGTGAAGATTAGCTCTTGGGGCACAGACACATGAATATAGATTAATATATTTCACTTAGGCGACCACCCTGAAAACATTGGTGTTTTAAGTTTATTTTCCTGAGGTACCAGTTCTAAACATGCTTTGGAAGTCTTCCCTTCACTCTAAGCTGGCATCTTCATAACTGGCTTTGGCCTAACCTATCTCTTACCAAGTGAAAAAAAAAAATGCAATTCATGAGGCTTATTATAATTTATATTGTTTCCTTACAGGACTAAATTTACCAGGTTGGAGGAGGGAAACAAAAACCTAATGAGGAGGCCGACACCAGGAAGGAACCACAGCCTGTTTCCTTTCTGTCTCTGTGGTGGATTTCATTCAAAAGAAAACTGAAGCTGGCAAGACCTTCTTTTTCCCTGCAATTTCTTTAAAACCTTGCACGCATTTGGATACCTTGTGATTTCAGAGAACTATGTGAAGATTAAGCTTTTGCTTACTGATACATGGCATGTACTCTTTCGGTCTTTTGTGTTTGATTTTGTTTGATTTTCCACTGCAGCACTGCATCTTTGTAAGGATTTTTATGCTTTCACCAGCAATGTCTTAAATACTTTCAGACAACACATGTGGTGTTCACACTTCTTCAGTAACAACTGTACAAAAAGAGCCAACAGTGGCATAAAAGACTGTGTGTTTTCTTTGAGGGTTGTGCATAGTTTGCAACCAATGGGAAGACTATTTTTTCCCAGGGCAAGACCAACTTGTCTGATCAGCTGACAATTACAGCACTTGCCACTCTTCCTCAAGTGTTGTTGGGTTATTTCTTTTTTCATTATCCCCTCAGACCATTCATATCCATATGAAAACATGGCAATAATTGCATGTTTACTTAAGTACTCTAAATTTGGTTACTCTGCTTAGGCTATGTAGCATGCCAGTTTTCAAAATAGGCCTGTGAGAAAGACAAAGCAAAAATTATGAGATGTATGCAGCTGACAAATACTCAGTGAGTTCCTTATGGTTTTATTCTCTTCAAGAATATATCTTTCTTTTTTTATGGGTCTTGGCTAACATCTCTATATTTTTCCTCACACTAGTTACTTTTTGGAATATTTTCTTGAAAACAGAGATGATGAAACTGTTCTGTTTAATTCAAGACAGATACCGAGGTACAGAAAATCTTCCTTTGAACGAGCCATTAAATCTAGCTGTGTTACTTTGCCGTGTACAAAGCAAGGTGGAGAATTCTCATCCCAGACCTTTGCTGTTCCACACCAAAGCACTTTCTGAGTTATTTTCCATAGGTATTCTGAGCTGATTGGAAAGCACTACATCATCCTTAGTCTTTAGATAGCTTTTCTGAATGAATCATTCAAATGCAAACTTTGCAAGAAACTAAGTTGTGTGTGTGATTTTAGAAAAGGAAGTCCCTGCTATATTTTGGTTGGGGAGAGCATTGTGTTCAGGGGTGTGGAAAAACTGCCCTGTTTACAATTTTGCATTCAGAGAGGGCAGGGTATGGTGCAAAAATCACTGTTGAGTTATAGTCCTGCTCGGACAGAAGCACTTGCTAGGCAATATTATTCTACACATTATTTTGACATCCTTTGCTTGCTGGATGCATTGAATTACATTTTAAGGAAGTATGGTAATGCTTCAGTTAGCTTTCAGTGTTTAAAAGGAAGGGAAAAGGATTTGTTCTACTGCCATCTTATTAAACTCCAGCAGAGTTTAATAAGAAAAAGACACCAAATAAGGCAAATCCTTGAATGCACAAGCAGCTACAAAAGATCTCTTAATGAACTAGGACAGGAGTCTACACTTTCAAAGAACTGAACCGTGGAAATATTCTCAATATTTGCACAGCCATTAAAAGACAATTTTCCCTACTGACATCTCTGTTTCAGGATCTGCTAAAAGCCATCTGAAAGCCACTTTCAGTCACAATCATACATAGAACTTACTACAGTTCTTCCCCTGTGTTTATAGGGGGAAAAGTGACCACTGAACTTTTGAATTTATCACACACTGAAACTGCCTTAGATGTGGTTTGTTTGGGTTTCATGTTTCCTTTTTTTTGTAAGAGAAAAGTCTTTTATACATTATCTTTGCTACTTAAATTGTGTGCAGTTTGATGATTAAAATTAGCTATTTTTAGAAAAAAAAACTTGCTGCAAAATCTGAAGAAGTTTTGAAAACATAACAAAGATTTTGATTAGGAATATAAGGGTAGTTTCATAGATGCTTCTATTTGGCAGCTTAAATTTGAAGGCAAGCAATTACACTGCTCAACTAACCATCTGAAGATTTAATATAGAGTAATTTCCCAATTATTCCCACAAGCCTAGCACATTGCTATCCATAGTGACTAATGTACAGTGTTTGTTTAAGGTATGTATGCGTGCATATGTGTGTGAACACACGTGTGTGCGTGAGATTATCCTCTCTACCCCATTCCCACTTCTAAGCAACCACTGAAATAAAGTTGATCCAAAAATCTTCAAACTCAATTAACTGCCTGAATGAAAGTTCATAAATATCTGGGCTTCTAAATAGCAACTTAATCTTAAGAACTAATGAAGTTATCTCACCTACTGATCATTAAGGAGTGACCTACTTTCCGGGCACTCCAGCTGCCTGTGGTGGGTTGGTTTTGCTGCTCTCCCATGGAGGCTGTGGGCCATGGGGACATTCTTCTGGCACGAAGGCAACCATCAGCAGGATGGTCCTTTTCACATGAGCTTGGCAAATTAATCTTCTGTAGTATCAAATCTGCTGGGAAATACCAAGGGTTTTTTGAGATAGTAGAAGCTCCTTTGCCCAGGGAACTAAAAGTTGACACTACAGCCTTATTTCACTCTTCCTTCCAGCAGAGCCCTTACCTGCATGGTTAGCTCAACATCCATCAGTAAGGACCCCCAGAGAGCTGCCCACGTCTCCAGCTGTTTTCACCACAGCTCTTCTCAGTGTTGCAGAATGGACTGTTTAAACCCTATCAATGCTCTTGAGACAGCTTCAGCAAAGATCAGTAGTGATCTTTTTCTCTCATCCTTCTGAAATCAGTTCCCCAAAGAATCTTCAAAGACACAAGAAGTAGCCCAGCCTTCCAGATATGGGTGCCTGGAATGTGATGTTTCACATTGTCAATGTTGTCACGTTCTTGAAGTCAAAAGCTGGCTTCAGTGACAGTCCTGGAGAAACTGTGAAATTTGCTCAGTCAGTAGCCAGCAGCAGCTTAAGTCGCATTTTCCTACCACTTGGCTGAGATCCAGTAGATCTGTCCTGGTGATACTTGAGAGAATGTAGCTTTGCTGCAAGATGGGAGAGCAGCAACAGGGCAGCAGGTATAGCAGGCAGATAAAAGTGGGAGGGCATGTTCTAACTCTCAATGGGATCTAATATTAAGTGAATGGGGGAGGGAAGATGGTGATAGATATGGTCTGCATGATACAGAGAATCCTTACAAGTTCAAGTTCACAGAACCTAAATTATAAGTCGACCAGCTGGAAATTGCTCAGTCTTCTTTCATGCTGAGTTCAGATCAACTCAAATCCACACCCAGCAGGCACTACCCCAGACAGGACACTCCAATAGTTCTGACATTACATTACTGTATGGGGTCCTACATCAGTTGGGTCCTTTTAATTCTCTTACTTTTTTTTTAAATCAGAACCATAGCTTAGGACAAGTTGTCAGTACAACAGTGAAAATTCAATCTGCAGTAGACAGAGGCACAGGGGATTTTGCTTTCTCTTTGGTGCATAGAGGTTCTGCACTTCAGGCTCCTGGGAAGAGAAGGCAAGATAAATAAATATATACCCTGTGGGTTGGTGGGTTATGTACACCCCATGTCAGTGCACACAACCAAATGTGTAATCAATGCTCAATATATGAATATTCAGAAAGATGAATATACAAAACAATAATCTGTGAATATTACTGGGTTTGTAATCTTTGTTATATAAAAGGTTTAGGCTGTACAGACTAAGGAGTAAAATGCAGATACCCCCTACAAACAGAAGTAGGTTGCATTACTGAGCATTACAATACTCTCCCCTACCAGCATTTAGGTGGAGTGACTGTATGTTACTGCCTTGCATTTTTCACGTAAGCAAAAAATCTAAAAGTAAAGGATGCACTAATAATTCCCATCCCCCAAAATGCATTTCCATGGTGCTGCATACAAAATTCCTGCTTGCCAGCTTCTATGCGGATTTTTGTATGGTGCACTAAGAGGTATTCTTTTTTTAACAAATAAAAAAAGGGAGGGCTGGTACATGAAAACAATGTTAATGTAATTAAATATATATATACTTCAGAAGAACAGCATCGTAAGCAGTACAGTAAAATAAATGTTGCATTATTTGTTACACCTTGTAATTTGTCTGTATTATGAAAGATGTAATGGTTTGTCAGCTGTAACTGTTGTTTTCTTGTAACATCATATTGAATAAAGTGTAGCAGAATCTCTCTTCGCCTTTGTATATGTGATCTAGACCTAACCCAAGGAATAAAGCCTTTCTTTTCCTCTTTGTTCTCCAAAAACCAAACAAGGAAATGGTTGTAAACAAGAGATTTTTAAGGAATGAAAAGTACTTGGGAGCAGGCAGACACTAGACAGTAATATGTTGAAAAGATTAGGCACTGATTCAGTCAGACATGAGCTTCATCAAAACTACAAGGGCAAGATTCTTCACATTTCTGTCTGTAATAGTACGTTAATGGTTTGCTGTCTCTTTCCATTTTGTTATATATGTGACAAGGTACCTCTTTACAGCACACTGGAATTTAACCAAAGTAGCAGAAAAGCCAGTATTCTGAAAACAAACAAACAAACAAAAACAAAACCACACACACACAAAAAACGAAAATCCACAAAAAACCAAAAAAACACAACCAAACCCCAACAGGTCTGATTTAAATATATCATTATATGGGGGATGAAGTCTGGCTTATTATAACCTCTCTTGAAATAGAAAACAGATCATTCTGGTAGAAAATCAGGCAAAACACACAATACAAATTTTTCACAACTTTGGTGTGGAAGTGTGATTTATCCTTGTTCATACTTGATTATGTATTTCAATCAGTGAATGTATGCTGCCTTGACTCTTTGTCTATTTGTGTATCATAGCATTAGATAATCAAGTGCTTGTTCACACTATATATTATCAATATGTGTGTTCAGTATTTTCTCCTTCTTTCCATTGCTTC